GAGAAGCAACCGACAAATGCTGACAGTTTAACATCAGTTTTAAACCCATTGAGAACCTGGAAGCATTGAACGGTCATTTCATCCTGGCATAAGACTCCTCAACAGTGCGCGTTCACGACATCGCACGCGTGATTCTTACCCAGTACCGTCGACGTCGCGCGTGACCGTTTAAACTCTAGGTCATTGATCTGGTATCCAACAGTGTCACTGTCCTCCACTATCTTCATTGAACAACCATCTCACGCCAAACCCATAAAGAGGAAATGCGTTCGAACCCCGTGTGTGGAATCGTGGATGCACAATGCTGAGGCATCCCATATTAGGAAGAAACGGCGTTTAGTGTTTTAAGGAATTCAGTGATGGTTTGATATTGGTCGATTCATGCTGTCAATCAAAACGCTACAATTTCCATGACCCTATGCTGACCATTTACCGCGGGGTAATCAGCTGACATTGGAAACTGTCCGCGGGCAGGCGACATTGAGTGACATTGATCGAGCTAGAACCAGTAGAAAATATTTGTATAATACTAAACCATCCTATACTTTGCTAAAGTGACATTATAGCCGAACACACGACAGAGTTTATCATAAATTATCGCTTCAGGGGCAAGAAAAACTGTCGACTATTACTAGACAATGTTGAATCTCGAAGGGGGTTCAATAAGGTTTCATAATTAGGCAAAAGAACATACTGCGTAAATTAGGTTCCGAACATTTGTCTTCAGTGTGACGTATAGCGTGGCATATACAGCTGGTCTTACTGATCACTGGGTTTCAAGGACGGGACAAGAATGACCTGTGCTCCCACAGAATAGTACTGTTAATTCATATACTGTCGAAATTGTTGAAAAGGTTAGTGTGCGCTTAAGTGAGACGTGTGAAGACGGCCCACGTGTGAATTTAAGGCAGTTCTAAGAACCGGGGAAAAAGCTGAAGATATTCCGACCAATCATTCTTCGGTAGATTATTCCAGAATCTCGACGTGTAGCTTAACTAATGAAAACCCTCCCTATGCCGATTGGATGACTACAACGGCGACTTTGCTTTTACTAATAGCTATAAATACCTGAAACTTTTGAACCACATTCGGCAATGTTTAAAATAGCATGCCTCTTACTTGTCTTCTGTCTCCTCGTTTGCGACTTGAGGAGTTCTAGAGTTCGAGTGCTCAAGAATTTAACTTCTAGATATGACAAGACATGTTACAGAAAACCACGCATTCAGCAATGACTTATCAAATTCAGTGTCCCCATCTTTTATATCTGATAAGTTATTCTAATACCTTTAACAGCACATCATAAACCATTTCATTACTTTAGTATTCGAGAATCGCTTTCTTTTTACACATTCGTTCAAACATAATTTGGTAAAGCGACCGTTTGTTCTTCTTCCGAAATTTTGATTAGGTCATCAGTTCGTTGCACATAATTAGAAAATTTCTGTTTTAGGTGGTGTCTGACAGTTGTAACAACCCTACGTTTCTGGAATAAACAATTAGTTGTGACAAAATTATGTGAACTTACAAATAACAACTGAGTTCACTGAGAATGGTTAAGTTTTTCTTCTTAGTTATGTTGCTTGGCAATGGAAAAACCCGGAATAAATTTTTTGCGCGATTATATGTGTGCATATATATATTGGATGTTAAATTGCTTAAAATACTTCGTTCACATTTTCTATTAAACAGATGCTCACAATTCGATTTCTTCAAGGTCAACCGGTCGAAAATACCTCCAAAGTACTTTTCTTGCCCATTGTGTATGTCATACTGATATGATGATACTATGACAACATAGTGAAAAGAAATTTATAATACTTGCACAATAACTAGTTGACTTTCGTTATTTTAGATTGTATTAGCACTAAAACCATCTTAACTAGTCTTCACAGGTTTTAATAATTATTATCTTCTCTCTAACCGGTTTGTTCGGGTAAACTGACTTACCTGTCTTGATTTGATAAATCTGATTTGAATCGATGCTGATTGCAGATTGACATAAATCCCATGCGTTTTGGAATTTCTTGTTATTCTTGAATTCTCTATATAGAGTCTTTAGATTTTTACAATCAAATTTGTATCTGTAGTTTGTATGGATACATTGCTGTAAGGGATCACATATCTGCCTTCACTGTTAGTGCGTTCGTTTATGTATGAGAGAAGTGGAAGTCCATTTTGTATAGTGTAGCACATCTTGCAATTGATGTACCTCATTTTCTGTTCCTTTCTCTTTCGTATTTGTCTGCATAAGATAAAATTTAGTGATTGTATTACTGCATAAGTATTTATCATGTACAACATCGGTTTGTCATTTGATTTTTAAAAGTGCTTTCGTAACAGTATGTCATTTTTCTAGATATCTTTTGGTAAAGTTGTGCGACTAGCCATTTTTGTAGGCTGTAGACATAAAAGGTGGTGAGACTATGATTTATGGACCTGTTATCCATGTTGAAATAATCTTGAGATCCAACCACTCACTAAACTCAGAAGAGCGTTATGTATTATTGTAAGGGAACTGGGTTAGGATTCGGAGTTGGAAAATACGGTTAGTAATTTGAGTTAAGGTTTTCATGAACTGAGATCAGCTCTAATGCGGGATACTGTCTAACCATATAGTTGATTGATTCTTGCGCCAAAATCCAAGACTTGCTAACTTAAATCTGACTGGTTCGTGCATATATTATAATCGCGCTTAAGACAACATTTTGTATTTTGTATTAACAGTGTTTCGATGAATTTGGACTCATCTTACTTGTTTCTTTAGTCGCTATCAACGTAGGGCTTGGGATAGATGTGTATTACCCCACGTCGCCATACAGCAATATCACAAGTTTAAAACAACCAGATGGATTGCAAAACATATCGAAATAATGTAGTTCCAATGATAATTTACTTACTTTACTTACGCCTGTTACTCCCAATGGAGCATAGGCCGCTGACCAGTATTCTCCAACCCACTCTGTCCTGGGCCTTCTTTTCTAGTTCCATCCAATTCTTGTCCATTTTTCTCATGTCTATCTCCATTTCTCGGCGTAATGTGCTCTTTGGTCTTCCTCTTTTCCTTTCGCCTTGAGGATTCCATGTGAGGGCTTGTCTTGTGACGCAGTTGGGTGCTTTCCTCAATATGTTTCCTATTCAATCCCAGCGCTTCTTCCTGATTTCTTTCTCCACTGGATCTGGTTTGTTCTCTCCCACAGTAGGTTGTTGCTGTTAGTGTCTAGTCAACATATCAGAGGTATTTTGCGTAGAAAATTGTTAATGAACACTTGTATCTTCTGGATGATGGCTTTCGTAGTTCTCCAGGTTTCTGCCCCATACAGTAGAACTGTCTTGACATTTGTATTGAAAATCCTGACCTTGGTGTTGGTTGACAGTTGTTTTGAGTTCCAGATGTTTCTCAGTTGTAAATATGCTGCTCTTGCTTTGCCGATCCGCGCCTTCACATCTGCATCAGATCCACCCTGTTCATCAATGATGCTGCCCAAATACGTAAAGGTTTTTACATCTTCCGAATCTTCTCCGTCAATTGTGATTGGATTGGTGCATTCTGTGTTGTATCGGAGAATCCTGCTTTTCCCTTTGTGTATATTGAGACCTACTGCTGCTGAGGCTGCTGCCACACTGGTCGTCTTCTCCTGCATCTGTTGTTGCGTTTGGGATAGAAGGGCCAGATCGTCTGCGAAGTCTAGATCATCCAACTGCATCTTAGATGTCCATTGTATCCCGCGCTTCCCTTCAGACGTTGACGTCTTCATGATCCAGTCGATCACCAGGAGAAAGAGAAAGGGTGAGAGTAAGCAACCTTGCCTAACACCGGTCTTCACTTCGAACGACTTTGTCAACTGTCCTTCATGCACGATTTTGCAGTGTAATCCATCATATGAGTTCTGTATGATATTGACTATCTTCTGAGGCACGCCGTAGTGTCGAAGAAGTTTCCATAGTGTTGTTCTGTCCACGCTATCAAATGCCTTTTCGTAGTCAATGAAGTTGATGTAGAGTGATGAATTCCATTCAATTGATTGTTCCACAATGATCCGTAGAGTTGCGATTTGGTCTGTACACGATCTATCCTTACGGAATCCTGCCTGTTGGTCACGAAGTTGGGCGTCTACGCAGTCCTTCATCCTGTTTAACAATACCCTGTTGAAGACTTTTCCCGGTATTGAGAGAAGAGTGATGCCCCTGTAGTTATCACACTTGCTGAGATCGCCTTTCTTCGGTATTTTGATCAGAAGTTCTTCTTTCCAGTCTTTTGGTACTTGTTCCTCATCCCAAATCTTATTGAAGAGAATGTGGAGTATCTTTGCAGTTGCCGCTACGTCTGCTTTTAGTGCCTCTGCTGGGATGTTGTCCGGTCCTGCTGCTTTGCCACTCTTGATTTGTCTGATGGCCATCCTGATTTCTTCAATTGTTGGTGGGCCAACATTGATTGGGAGGTCCGTGGGTGCTGCTTCGATGTTGGGTGGGTTCAGTGGAGCTGGTCGATTCTCCAGTGGTAATGGAAAAGAATAAATATTGATAAATCGTTTCGAAAAGGCAGTGGAAAGTAGTATATGGAGGAATATTAGGATTCAAGATCGAGATGTGAGTACATCGGCTTCATTGTGACTGATTCTAACCCAAGTTACACAGCTGCAACCAATAATCGTGGTTACGACACAGACCACAACCACATTCCACATCTAACAGCATGGCTCATACCAATAGCCAGTGAATTCGTGGACCAATACCATGCTCTCGTTCAATCACTCCTAGCTTCCTTCTGACCTACTTCTACACCAGAAAGCATTACCGATTGAGTTAAATGGTTTCTAAAAATGCGTAATATTTTGTATTCAATGTGGTTATCGCTGTCGTATCGTTTGATGGTGTAATACAGTTTTAATAACCTGACCAAAAGTATCACTTAAAATATTTATTTCATTTTTGTTTTCGTTTGCTACAGCTTGTAACTGTTTTCTTTTTTTTCAAATCTTTCAGTTCGTTCTTAAACTACCATGTCATCAACATTGGATCATTTGAAAAAGCATACTATTATCGTAGCGGACACTGGAGATTTTAATTGTATGTAATCAATTTTATGATTTAACAAAACAACTCTCATTTCCACTTTATTATTATTATTTACAGCTATTAAAAAGTATTTACCAATTGATTCAACAACAAATCCATCTCTAATATTATCTGCATGCAAATTACCACAATATTCACACTTGTTAGATTCTGCTATTCAATATGCTAAGAAAGAAAAACAGTATGTTTATTTTCTAAAAAAAATAACAACCGTTTTTAGAACATTAAATGAACAAATTGAATTAGCATTAGAAAGAATATTTGTATTATTCGGTTGTGAAATATTGAAAATTGTACCAGGACGTGTATCTACTGAAGTGGATGCTCGGTAACAAAACAACAATAACAATAATAATACTTATTTTATTTATTCTTATCTTCTTATATCTTTTATAGTTATTCATTCAATGTACAAAAACAAATAGAAATAGCATGTCGTCTCATTTCAATGTATGAAGAATTAGGATTTTCTAAAGAACGTATACTTATTAAATTAAGTTCTACATGGGAAGGTATAAAAGCTGCAAAAATATTAGAATCACAATATGGTATTCATTGTAATTTAACATTAATGTTTTCATTTTATCAGGTAATTAAAACAAAATGATGGTATGACTTTAAAGTTATGCTTATTTTGTTGTAGCGTTTTTATTTGTAAAATATTTTACAGATTCTTTTATGAATTGATATTTTTACGTTTTATTCATGAGGAAGTGACTTTTGTTTCTACTCTCTGCTCAAGAATATGTTCTATTCAGTTCTCTTTAACCAGTTCCTGCTTGGGTTCGGGTAACCAGGCAGTATCTCAGCTTTCACATAAATCGAATGATTTATGTGATGCTTATCTATTTGGTGCTACTTTGTACCAATGTTTATGTGTTTAGATAAATAAGTAACCAATTACAGATAAGTTTATTAAGTGATTCGGTTAACGTGATATATTAGTGGTTTTGTGAAACTTATTCGATTGAGATGGTTTAGATGTGTTACATATTCTCAACCATTTACTAGCGTAATGCATAATATATGGTGGAATGAAGGTAGATTGCAAGAAAATTGAATTCGGCGGAAGAAAAACTTTTTATCAGTCCATGAAGTCATTGATCAATAAATTCGGACTATCTAACTTTGCGTGAAAACCGCAGTCAGTGGGGGGGGGGACGTTGCGTGATACGTTTAGTAAACAATCATGATGATATATACATTCACTCTTTATCTGACCCTATGTCTTAAGCATTAAGTATTGTTTTTTTTTGTTCAACAAATTAATCTTGTCTTTTTGATGCGTATCACTCACTACTTAATGATTCTCATTGTTGTTAATATCACTTATTCTGACTCGTACGGTATTCATTTCACTAATTTGATTTCGTTTTGCTAATATGGTATAACGGACTGAGTGTTATGATGAAAATAAACATTCAAAAAGAACGCACAGCAATTCAAACACATAGGAGAAAAACAAAAAAAATTTGGTGTTGAATGTTATACTTAGAAATAATGTGTATTTATGGATAGTCTTCTGGAAATCCTAGACTTGGATGTTGCGTCAATCGGAAATTGTCAAAAAGATGTACTTGCTGTGTAATACGTATATATGTGTTGAATGTATGCTCATAACCACTGAATGACTTATAGTATTGAAAAGTAATTAGATTTATACATCGTAGGCTACGTGGGGTGTTAATCATTGATGTTCATAATAAAAATATAGTAAGTCATTACATGTGTGAGAATGTCAATATGATTCTGGGAAACATAAGACGATCTGTTTATAATTTTATTTATCAGGGTATGAAGAAGGATTCACTTCATTATACTTCTGTACATATAAATCAGTTTGAAAACATTTAATGATATAACAGTTTCTCTATAAATCTTAGTAAAAGCCAAGTAATTTCACTACTGACAATTTTAACTTTCCAAATATACAGTTTAGTAAAAGCATGTTCAAAAGTTTGTATAAATAAATCTTTCTTGTGGTTCTTTTCACATATCTGTCACGACTGATACATAAAAATTCATAAGTGTAATTAATGGTGACTTTGAAAAAATGTTATCTACTGAAATTTATTAAATCGTTACATTTGCAAATTCAATCCTTATCGGATGGAGATAATTATCCACCTCCGATAATAGATGAAGGGTTGTGCAAGATCATAGATCGATAATACCGTTGGATGTCGATTTAATGATCTAGAAGTTAGACTTTCACGTGTGAGACCAAAGTTCTTGGGTTCAAGTTCCACGTGCAGGATCGTAAATCTCCACTTTTGAGGCATCCTATACTAGAACGAAACGGCCATTCAATACTTCCAGGTTTTCAATGGTGGTTTAACTTAGATAGATTTATAAATTCAACTGTTGAAATCCTAACATGTAAGAATATTTATTATTTAAAACATTTATACTAATTATTTGTTTATGATACATAAACTGATCATAAAAATGCATTCAAAAAATATCTTTGGCTAGTACAAAAATTATGTTACTGGTCAACAAAAGGTTTTTGCTCAAATTTTCTAAATCTGAGATCGAAACATCGTCTACACATATATGTATGCATACTTGTATCGAGATGTATATGTACATAATTAGGTAAAGTTTGTAGCGTCTAGCATTATATCCAACGGACATGGTTTATTCTAGCTTCCGGAAAGATCGATTTATTCATTCATGTCAATTCACATTTTCGACTCTGTTAATTATTCACTTATTAACTTTGACTGCTAGTATAGGAGGGTATATGTGTGCACTGCTTATCCTATTTATCACATGTCTCTAGCTTACTTTTTCGGACTATAAATATTAAGTCACGCTCACTCACCTTCTTCGCTTTTGCGTATCTTATTCCGAATATCTGTCTAGATAAACGAATGCTTGAAATAAATTTCTCCGAGACAACCCATTTTTGACTTCTTATTACACCGTCATACATAGGGTTAGTCTAGGATTAAATGGAAGATTTATATTCATAACATACTTATACATTCATTCAAATTGGAGTTAGATCAGCTGATCACGAAAGGATCATTAGTGTTTTTTTTTCTTTCGAGAGTGTTCCTTTTGTCTTATTTAACTCATATTTTGATAAATATATTGAAATAATTCTTTTTAAATTTAATAGGCTATAGCTTGTGCTCAAGCTAATGTTACATTAATTTCACCATTTGTTGGACGTGTACTAGATTGGTATATAACTAAATATGGTAAAAAAGAATATACTAGACATAATGATCCTGGTGTTAATTTGGTTACTCGTATTTATAATTACTATAAATTTCATGGTTATAAAACACAGGTGAGTTAATGAATTCTTTATTTTAAAATCATTATAAATACATATACAGATTAAGATGTTTTTTGAGCTAGTGAAGCTGCTCGATTCCTTAAAAATGATGTAGACAAATTGGGACTCGAACTTATAACTTACTAATCAAGGGTTAGATAAAGTTGTTGTGTAAAGCATTTTGTTCAAACTAAAGATAACGAAATCTCAGCACGGATACAGAAGGCTCGACTAACTTTTGCCAACTTACGTCATTTATGGCGTAGGCGAGATATCCGTCTATCAACCAAAGGACGTGTTTACTGCTCAACAGTTCGTTCCGTCCTACTTTCTGGCTGTGAAACATGGCCGGTAAGAGTAGAGGATATTCGTAGGTTACTAGTATTTGATCATAGGTGTCTTCGAAACATTGCTCGTATATCCTGGGACCATCAAGTAAGTAACGCAGTTGTTAGGAAATGGGTACTAGGTAAGGATGGCAAATCAATTGATGAAGTGCTGAAACCTCATCAGTAGTGATGTCTGGGACACGTGTTACGTATGCCCAACCACCGACTGCCTTGACGTGCGATGTTCCGTGGTGTAGGATTAAGTTTGAAGAAAGGTAGGGGCGGCCAGACAAAAACATGGCACAAATCCATGACTGACAAATGAACTGAGCCATGTTGGTAGGTGTAGACTACCTGATTGGAGACCGCGAGATGATAGCAACCGATGGTTAGAGACCCTGAATGACATGGCTCAAAATCGTTTGCAATGGCGCAGGTGCATCCATTCTTTGTGTTCTCCCAAATTTTAGTTTTCTGAATTCTTCATGTCCCTGTTTTCCTCTTTACAAATTTATTTCACTGTATTATACTCCTTAAATAACATTTCAAGCCCTAATTTTTTCGATTGCTGCTTATACTCTTACTACCTCCACCACTACGGAATTTGAGTGGACAACTGCATCTCTGTGCTAATGTGGTGTAGCAACTCGAACTGATGTACGTACGTACGAAGTTCTACGTTGTTACTGACTGACTTAGATTAATCTCTAAAGCTTGTTAGGTTCGTGTTAAAATATGATGATCTTGAATTTATTTTGATTTCAAACTGAAAATCAGTAGATGTTCAGTTGTACCCCAGAAATAATATAAAAAGTAGAAAATCTTGAAAACAATAGAATAAAATATAGTAATACAGTGTTTGACACGAACGACCGTTGGAGGTGTCATCACCCTTTGATATGAAGACCTTTCAACTTTCAGGGCAGAGTTTAAATGGTTTAAATGATCGCTGGTTGGAGTTTTATAGCAAGATTCTTATTTACGAGATGTCACTAACCGCATGCACAACCCTCCTCTTTTACTTGAGGCAGAATGAACGGCACATGTTCCATTTTATTTACATTTGCGCCAACTAAACAAAACCTATGGGATTCAGCTTAATCGTGAAGCACTAATTTGGTGCAATCGACTATGAGCCACATTGTTTTTGTAGGAGGAATGGCCAAATAGAAATAAGTGTAATGTACTTTTAATCTGAGTTCTGTTGAGTGGAAGCTAAGTGCCTAATTTAACTTGTGTTGTAGAAAACATTATGATTCGTTCTCTGTTAAGAGATTTCTTTATTTTAAATAACAAATTTCGTTACAACCTGACATCAAGTGAAGTAAACATTAAAATCCCATTAACACTTGATAGGTGTTTGATCGTAATTGGTTACTTGTCTTCAGTGTACACTCATAACGCATTCTCAATGTAGAACTCAGGATTTCCATATACATCACAAAACCATTCAAACCACTGAAGTAAAACTCAAAGTTACATGTTTTGAAGTTATTCATCTTTTTTTGCAGCATTTAATGCATTCGGTTTTTTTAATTGTTTGTTTTTTTTGTTATTCCACACTACTGACTTTTTATCATAACCGTTGAGAACCAGAAAACACTTTGCAGATGCTTCATCCCTAATATGTGACTTATCAGTGGGGACTTACAACCAGCTGTCAAACTTAAGGTCTTCAAACCTCATTTCAATCACTTAACATCTAGACTACTGAATATAACACCCGCTGGTTTGATATATGCGCTACACTAATCATTCGATTTGTGTGAGGGCTAGGATGCTCTCCGGGTGCCCAAACCCAAGCAGGTGGTTTTCTTAGGGGGTCACAGCCCGAACTTTTGACCTAGAGGGCTAATCCACAAGATAGTGTAGCAACGTTAGGAAATGCAGTCTAATGGTAGGCGATGACCAATAATAGGTTCATACCTTCTCTGTTCCTTCGTGATCTTGGAGCATATGTCCACCATTGGTTTGGAATCTCCGTATCCATCAATCCGGTTAAAGCACCGCACAATCACTTTCCGTCCTTTCAATTCCGTAAACATCAGCCCCACCGCGAGAAGGCGATGAGTAGGACTTCCCTGACAGTGTCTGTATACATGTGGTCATGTGAGAGCACTTTGAAGGGGTGAGAGGACTTTCTCCACCCTCGACTGTACCAGGCATTTGTGTGTGAGTCACTACTGATGAACATAGGATTGATTTGTTTTTATTATGATAAGCTTTAAAGACTGGTATAGTTTTACATCATAGACTAACTTTGACTAACTAATGACTTCTTAATTAACATTAGGATTTAATTAGTTTATTTGAAGAAAATATAATAAATGGTACAATTTCTAATTAGGTTATGGTTATGCAATCCATAAATGCAATCAATTCTATTATGCATCTACAATTCGTTTAGATTAGTTCATGTTAGCTTAATAAACTTGCTATATATATAGTAATAATAACTTTATTACTAGTAATCGATTAATTATCAGTAATATGTGCTAGTTATCCTTTTCTTTCGTTTATATTCAATATTTTGGCACCATAATCTAATCAATACTGTGTCGTACTTCGGTCAATATATCACAGTTATAAATGTTATCATTGTTTAATTAATTAGTATCTATTTGTGATACATTTCTTAGCTTCGTATTTTTGTGTCAAGCATTTTCTATGTATTCAAAAGTATATGAATCCATTATGTACCAAACAATCAGTTTCAGTGATAACTTCTTCAATCTATACAATTAGCAATCTTATGGAGATTAGTTTAATTTGTAGGTTATATTTGTTACAGATTGATCTTAGTTAAAGCTCAGTTGAAAAACAAGGAGTACTTGATAGCTGTTTCTATCTAATATAAATCTCTTTAACAATGCTCACTTAATACCCCGCCATGAACTAAACCTTACTTACTTACACCTGTTACTCCTCGTGGGCGAGCATAGGCCGCTCACCAGCATTCTCCATCTAACCCTGTCCTGGGTGATCCTTTCCAGCTGTTTCTAGTTGTTATTCATCCCTTTCATATCTGATTCTATATCCCGACGTAATGTGTTCTTTGGCCTTCCTCTTTTCCGCTTCCTTTCAGGATTTCAAGTTAGGGCCTGCGTCGTGATACATTTTAATGATTTCCGTAATGTATGTCCTATCCACTTCCATCGTCTTTTCTTAATTTCCTCTTCAGCTAGAAGCTGGTTTTTTCTCTCTCACAATAGGCTGTTGCTGATGGTATGTTGAGTATCTTGTGAACTGAACCTAGAACCCTTGATTCTTTCAGCTCACATTTAACCATTAAAACAACTGAGTTGGCTTACGATCACTAGAGTGGAAAAGCTGTTCAGTGCTCCTTGGTTTTCAATTGAAGTCAATCTATGATGAACTCAGCTTACAAATTACTGTATTACGTTAGACAAAAACGTATGTATATAAGCATATAAATCAAACTACCCAGCGTTATCCTTGGAAAATATCAAATTTTATATTGATTAAATCTTAAATACTAACCAAATAAAGTCATGGGTAAAGTTCATACAGGGTCATACAAGAAGAGGTAAGAAATATCATATCCTTTAAGATTAGACTAAGAATCAATCATCTTTATTATGGAATATAGCAAATAAATAAGATTGCATGTATCTTCTTTGTATGCATATCTAAGGTTTCTTCGAATTGACAACCATTTTTTTCGCTATTTAGAGTTAGGGTAATCGTACAATATTTGGGAATCTTCTGAATGAGCCTCTTCATTTTTTGATATTGTTTATTTTCAAATAGATAGCTATGAATGATACCGATAATAGAGATCGTAACGCCCACTCAATTTCGCAAACAACAGTAATAGAGTGAGAATGCAGTGAGTAGGACTTCTCTGACAGTGGTTGTATAAACATGACCATGTGAGTCATTTTGAGGAGAGCTGACTCTCCCCATTCTCGGCCGTACCAGCGCATTTGGGGGCAGCATTTCTATCAGTATTACTTTGTAATTGAAGCGTAGTAAAGAAGAGAAAATCACATTCATATCATAATTAACGCATTAAAAAAAAACCCAATTAGAAACTTGCTAGAGCAATCAAGAGATTACGCATTTGTTTTAAATAAATGCTCAATTCTTCCTAGAAAAAGTGGATGTTAATACTTTTTTCCAATGTTTCGCGTAACGTTTTGCTCCTTTCCGAATAATTTCCAACATTTTCAGTCTGCTAATTATTAAGTCATGCATATACTGATTTGTAGCATTTTAAGTTGTTTTACTTCAATGTCACTCCTATCTTTTAACTCATCGTGTTACTGTTGTATCGTAAACAGGTGGCGCTATCGAGTGCTCAATAGAGCCGTTTTTTAAGAGATGACTTCTCGGATCGATCTAAGCCAGACCGCCATTGAAAAACTGGAAGCATTGGACAACCGTTCTAGTGTAGGGTGCCTCAGAAGTGCGGATCCACGATCTCGCACGTGGAACTCGGACCTAGAACCTTCGGTCTCGCACGTGAACGCTTAACCTCTAGACCACTGAATCGGAGATTATTATGTTTTTGATTGGGATCATGAACCAATTGATGTTAAACCATCATTGAAAACGTGGAAGCACTAGATGGTCATTTCGTCCTATTGTGGGACTTCTCAGCAGTGCGCATTCACGATCCCACCCTCTGGATTCGAACCCAGGACCTTCGGGTTCATGCTCAAACACTTAATCTTTATTTAAATATTCTACTATTCTTTTTGTTTAATTTTCTGAAAAAGATTTTACACCTTAAATAACATAGTCCTTATATAGATGTATAATTGTCACTTCATCATTGGAAACATAAAGTTCATCAACGAAGAGACCTATTTTCAAGAAATCCTTTTTTCAAACTGTACAATCAATCTATATATTTGTATGAAATTTCTTAGATATTCATTCCATATGGACAATATGACTAATGAATAAACGTGATGATGTAGTAAAATTTATTTATTTATTTTAACACGTAGATATTGGTACAAGGATGCACCACATACATATGCCCCACACAGATCTCATTTGATATGTGTGAGGGCTGTAATACTGCCAGGGTGCCCAAACCAAATCAGGTGGTTTTCTTAATCGGTCACACCCGGAGCCTTCGACCTGAAGGTCTGATCCACAAGGCAGTGGAGCATCGTAAGGAGATGCATTCCCATGGTAGCCGGTGACCAACGATTGTTTTATACACCATTTGTCCCTTCCAGGATACTGGAGCCCATGTGCACCATTGGTTTGGAATCAGGTTTTCCAACTGCCCTTGGTGGACTCTCCATATCCACCAACCCGGCTAAAGCGCCGGACATTCACTTTTCGTCCTCTCAATTTCGTAAATAACAGTAATGCCACGAGAAGGAAGTGAGTAGGACTTCCCTGGCAGAGGCTATAAAGGGTTGTAATAACGGATTACGTAATAACTATAGTAATAATAAAAAATATGAAGTTAAATAATAGTTTAAGGCGATTGTAAGTATAAGAGATATTTCTTTTACACGCACAGTTTTGGCCTCATCTCATGAATGATAAAGGCTTCTATCGTTTTAATGGGTTGGATACGAAAAAATCTAGATAGATTTTGACAAGTTATGTAAATAACTTTTTAAATTAACCAGTGGATCAATGGAGTCAATCAGCTACAACGTAGGACCAAGCACATATATATTCATCAGTCCAAGTTGCTATACCTCATTAGCAAAGCCAGATGAATACCAAATTCATAAAAACAGTTACATCAATGATAGTGGAGTGATTGAAATTGATCGAATATTTAACAGTGGTCTTGAGTGCTGTTAAGAGGTATGAGGGCCGATGCATATATGTGTATGGTCCTACGTTGTAGCTGACTGACTAATAGAACTTCTAACTGTTTTCCTTTAACCCTTGTATAAAATTGTTTGAAACGATACAATATTAAATATAGAAAATGTGTTTAAATAATTTCAGCGATTGAAATTCAATTAATTTCAACGCTTTGTTCCACAATCATATCAGAACTATTTCAGGTATATTATAATTGTAATCAACATTACCAAAGAATGTTTCTAAGGTATACACAATAAGATCTCATCAAAATTTTGTTCATTTTTGGTATAAAAGGTCAAGAGGCAATCTGTTGTTTGTATAATATTACTATTAAAGATAATGAATATCTTTAATTTAATACCCCCAAATGTCCTGGTACGGCCAAGAGTGGGGAGAGTCAGCTCTCAATTTTGAAGTGCTTTCAAAAGGCCACGTGTATACAGCCGCCACCAGGAACGTCCTACTGACTGCCTTCTCGTGATGGGGTTGTTGTTTACAAAATTGATAGGACGGAAAGCGAATGTCTGGTGCTTCAACCAGGTTGGTGGATATGGAGGGTCCACCTAGGGGAGCTGGAAAACACTGATTCCAAACTAATGGTGTACATGGGCGCCAGGATCCTATGAGAACAAATGGCGTATGAACATATTTTTGGTCATCGGCTACAATGGGACTGTATCTCCTTACGTTGCTCCACTGTCTTGTGGATTGAAGCTTTAGGTCAAGGCTGTGCGTTTGGCCCCCTATGAAAACCGCTTGCTTCGGCTTGGGTACCTGGGAAGTCTCACAGCCTTCACATAAATCGAATGACTTACGTGGTGCATATCTGTTTGGTGCCTTCTTTTATCAATGTTTATGTGTTTAAATAAACAATAATAATAAATAGTGGTTGTTTGGATCTTCCCATTAATGTTCAGGATTGCAATCGATCAGTCTTTTTGATGTATGTACATTCTGTGCTGATTTCCTCGATATTGCCGGTAAGCTACAAGCATATGGATGGTGAATAGCAGTAAAATCAGCGACGTGCGTTTCGTTGTATTTTGAACTAGTCGGCTTGCTGTACGTGCATCTCAGACTTGATGTTCACTCCAGGACTTAATGCCAGTACATTTAGCTTTCAATAACATCGCTATATCCACTTATCTACTGAGTCTAGATAGACATTGATTTGTGCATCGAGGTGAATTTCCAGTAGTGAATATCGACTCTGGAATGCAGGCACATAAAAAACAATCTTATCATTATTACTTTAGTCTTAGTTATTAAAAGGTAGAAAAAATGCATATAACATAATTAAGCAAATTCGTTGAAAATGTTGTTCCATCATGGGGACACTTAACAAGACCTTCAACTATTGTTTCCTTAGAAGTCTAATGTTGTCTAGAGCATGAATAGATTAACGAAACTCAAAACTACAATATTAATCCATAAGATTGTTGACTCTCGAACTAATCGTATAGAAAGATATCAATTATTTAATTACGGTTGTTAAGCAATGTTAATTGATCTAAATCGGTTATTATGGCATACATGTATTTACTTTTTTTAAAAATCTTCTATTCATATTACATACATATTGTTTCATCTTACTATTCATCATTATTATTATTACAATTTTGTTTTTATCTTGTCTTGATTGCATCATATGACAACTTAGTTTAATGCATATTTATACTACTTATAAGTTGTCTATTGTTTAAGACATTACGTAGTAACTATTCAATGTTCAGTTAATGTAAGAATGTTTTTTTTTGGTTCTTTAAATGACCTAAACATTATTCAATATAATAAGTGAATATGTATTATTATTATTGTTGTTATTCCTTAGAAGTCACTTTTAATTCTTGTTAAATAATATATCGAGTTAAAATGGTTATTGTGACATGAACAAATCATATCCGTCAATAGTCGGTCAGTCAGCTACATTATAGAACTAGGCACACATTTATGCATTGATCCAAATTGTCGCACTTCATTAGTACAACTAAATGAATACTGAATTCATAGAAGTAGTTACTTCTTTAATGATAGTACTATATATGAGAAAGAATATGTATTAACATTTTAGTTGATTTATAAGATGATCATTGTTTGCCTGGTTAATTTGAATGACTTATAGTCTATATGAAGTATTTATGTTTTATCCACAGCAACAGTTGTTATTTTGTCTTCATATTGTTGCTGTTGTCGTTGTCGTCATCGTTTTTTTTCCTCTCTGATGACTTTTACGTCAATTCATTTGATGTTTCTTGTAGTCATTATTATCACTACCAAATGTACATATAAAACATGCTGATACTACCTTTCTATAATAAATCTTTCTAATGTTGTATAATCAATGGTATTAGTGCAGAAGAAAACAAAAAAATAGAAAAAAGGAAACGTGTATATGAATTAAAGTTTTCCATTCTGTGTAAAACTTTACAAAAATCTTTTCAATACAAAATAGTTTCATATCAAACGGGTTTTTCTAGATGTTGTAGTAATTTCAATGGTTAAGATCATGAGTCAATTGGATGCCAACTCAGTGATCTAGTGGTTAAACACTCGCGTGCAATACTGATATATCCTGGGTTTGAATCTCGTGAGGCGTGATCGTGGATGTGCACTGTCACTGAGGCGTCCTACAATAGGACGAAACGACCGTCCAGTGTTTCCAGGTTATCTATGGTGATCTAGCTTCAATTGATTCATAATCTCAACCATTGTAATTACAAAATAGTTTGTTTTGATATTTAATATCCAATAATGTTCATGATTATTATTATTATTACCACTTATTAGTGATCAGTTAATGAATGATCATTCTAGCGATAATAATTCCAACTGTGTGACATTAAGAAATGTGCCTTTGAACACGCTACCTCACTCCCACCGATCCACAACAAGCGGAAGGTTATTTCCTTTAAGATTGTAGACAGCACTAATATTATGTTAGGTAGGGTTGACATACTTGATTTCCACGCAGTTCATTATGTGACAAATGTTTTCTAATGTAGCAATGTTTAGGAGCTAAATTATGTATATTTCCTAAACTCTACATCTATACAAACTCAATACCATGCTGATAGACTCTAATAGTTCAAAAGAGTATTCTTTTTACAATTGATTAATCACTGAGTGGTAATCAATATCATGTATATGTGGTCCTTCTTAGTGCAGATCAAATCCTATCGACCAAGTTGCATTGTGGCTACCAGTCTAGGTGACTCGACATTCAGTGTACTATATTGAGATAAGATGATAATTGGAGTTAGTCAACAGGATTATTCTTTTGTCGCATCTATATACATATTTTTATTTTATTCTGAATACAGTTTTTTTTTCTAAATATTATTGTTGCTTCTTAATGTTTGTTTTAGATAATGGGTGCTTCATTTAGAAATGTTGAACAAATCCTTGGTTTAGTTGGATGTGATTTGTTAACAATATCACCTAGTCTTTTAGAAGAATTAAGTAAAATGTCAGAAGTGCCCAGTTTATGCTTGACTGTAGAAAAAGGTAAATAAATTTATTCTGTTTTCTTAGTTATGGAACGAAATTGTGTTCAACTTCTGTTTTGATAGCCATATAATATCTTTAATTGTTTCATTTGGATACTATGTTGTTCTTTTTCAAGCTAAACTGATGAGTTAGTCGTATTAATAATTTATACAAGTCACTTGATTTGTGTGTGGGTTATAATGCTTCCCGGGTGTCCAAACCGAAGCAGGTAGTTTTCTTAGGGTACTATACCCGGAGCCTTTGATCTAAAAGTCTAATCCACAAGGTAATGGAGCAACATAAGGAGATGCAGTCCCATCGTAGCCGATGACCAACAATATGTTCATATGACATTTGTTCACTTAGGATCCTGGAGCCCATGTGCACCATTGATTTGGAATAAGGGTTTTCCAACTCTCTTACGTGTATCATCTATATCCAACAACCCGGTTAAACCACTGGATGTTCGCTTTTCGTCCTCGGAATTTCGTAAACATCAGCCTTTCCGTGAAAAGGCATTGAGTAGGAATTCACTTGAAGTGGTTGTATATACGTGACCATGTGTGAGCATTTTGACAGGGAGAGCTGACTCTTCCCACTCTCGGTCTTAACAGGGAATTTAGGGGCTTAACAAATAACTACACACTGATGGAGTTTTTTAGGCATTATTTCTGTGTTATTCACTTACGTGAATTGATTAATTATGATTCTTTCTTCTTTTCTTTTTATTATGACCACCACCACCAACAACAACAAAACACACCCACACACACACCCAGCTCAAACATCTTATGATCATTCTTATCAATCAGATGAATTATTAACAGAAGAAGAATTTCGTTGGCAAATGAATGAAGATGAAATGGCTAATGATAAATTAACTGATGGTATAAGACGTTTTACTAATGATGCATTAATATTAAAAGATTTAATTAAAACACGTATAGAACAACAATAATAATAATAATAGAGATAATAATCTAATAATAGATCATAGATGAATTCAATTCTAATGTTTTCTATACGTGATCATTTTCAATCCGACCTACTTAACATTCATTTAAATGAGAAATCATTTATATCTTTTCAACTCAATATACATTGATCAGCATGATTTACGCATATTAGTATTAAGTATTTTGATTAAAATTCATTTATTTTCAATGATTACATTCTTATTTATTATGTAAGATTGTTATGAAATGGATCTAAGTTTAAGTTATTTCAATAGTTGATAATATGGAAAACCTGGAAACACTGGATGTCCGTCCTCAGTGGCAATACGCATCCACTATCCCGCCACGTGAGATTCGAACCCAGAACCTATCAGTCTCGCGTGCTAGCGCTTAACCACTGAGCTGAAATCCAAATGTGCTAATGTCTGACTCCAACTAATCCACGAAATTGAGCGACACATTTATTTATTTGAACACATAAGTATTGGTACAAGGGGAACCCAACACATTTGCACCGTACAAGTCACTTGATTTGTGTATGAGGTGTGATACTAGCCGGGTGCCCCAACCGAATCAGGTAGGTTTCTTAATCGGCCACACTCGCAGCATTCGGCCTAAAGGTCTAATCCACAAGGCAGTGGAGCAAAGCTAGGAGATGCAGTGACATGGTAGTCGGTGACCAGCAATTGGTTCATACGCCATTTGTTCCCTCAGGACATTGGAGCCCCTATGCATTATTTGTTTGGAATGAGTCCTTTCCAACTCCTCTAGGTTGATCCTCCATATCCACCAACCCTGGTAAAGCTCCGTACATTCACTTTCCGTCCTCTTAATTCCGTAGACATCGGCCCCACTGCGAGAAGGCAGTGAGTAGAACTTCTCTGGCAGTAGTTATATGCACGTGGCCATCTGAGAGCATTTCAAGAATGAGGAAGCTGACTCTCCCTACCCTCGGTCGTATCAGGACTTTTGCGGGCACATTGAAAAAACCGGTTCTCGTCTTTATACTGTATAGTCAAACTTGTACCATGGTCCTGATAACCCTTAATCCAGAGCTGAAACTACTGAACTGATAGAAAAGTGTGAGAGATTTTTTCCGTGTTGCGGCTGGTAATGATACTAGGCGAAATACTTTGAAATTACCGAATTGTACGCGCGATTTAAGAATTCAAAATGGTGATTATAAAAGATTATCCTATTGGTTGAATTTTTGGGAGTAATTCAGTAATCAGTCAGTCAGTAACAACGTAGAACTTCGTACGTACGTACATCAATTCGAGTTGCCATACCACATTAGCACAGAGATGCAGTTGTTGATTCAAATCCCATAGTGGTAGAAAGTAGTAAAAGTATAAGCAGTAATCAAAAAGATTAGGGTTTGGAGATGTTATTTAAAGAGTATAGTCCAGTGAAATAAATTTGGGAAGCGAAAAAAAGAGATAAGGAGGAATCAGGAGATTAGAATTTGGAAGAACACAAAGAGTGGATGCACCTGCGCCCACCATTGCAAACGATTTTGAGCCATGTCATTCAGGGTCTCTAAGCATCGGTTGCTATCATCTCGCGGTCTCCAATCAGGTAGTCTACACCTACCAACATGACTCAGTCCATTTGTCAGTGACTTCATGGACTTGAATTCAGTAATAATCCTCCTTATTAACCATTGCGCCAAAGTATCAAGCTAATGTTTATTATATAACCAATTCATGGAGTATATACTATTAGTGCTTATTAGAAAGACAATGAACCATCCAATTCAGTGAGCGAAATACCTTCAAAATAATTAAACTATCTACATACAATTACTATGACTCTTATCCATCATTGTGAAAATAAGTTACACTTTGTCCTACTTACACAATATTATAACATACATTACAATATTACATGTAATATATAAATAAAGTATGGTACTGTAATTGACAACTTACGACCGATAACAAATGGTTAAAATTAAAAACAGTCGATCGTTTAAATGATGAGACTATCATTGATGAATGATCTTTGAGTGACGTTTAAATGACCCCGAAAATATCCACCTATTTGCCAAGTCTAATTGAGAGTTATAAACCTGTGTGAGAAATTAGAATATTTTGAACATTCTATTTTAGCGGCATCTATAGAGCTTAATAGGATTGGATGTAGGATAAGAAAAGATGAAGCTACAGACTGTTAGTTTATATCTAATTATGGCAAAGGACTGAAACATTACCAACTTACTGTGAATGTGATGTTTAGAAATTTGAAGACAGATGACTTTCGAAAGGATCGAGTTATTGTCTGTTGATATTCTGAACCACATATACAATTGACTTCCGAGGGATAGAAACATCTTGATAAATTTTTCATTTTGATATTACATGATCGACGATAGTTTGTAGAAGAACCTTAACTTACGTTTATACTAATTAGTATGCATAACCAAGGCATACTTAGTGTCATGAAAAGACCAATGTCCACTTAATGAATCCAAACAAAATCTATCTCAATTCAGGTTTTAGTAGAATTTGATTAACATCTAGTCAATTAACCTTAATGGATACTTGATCAATAGGATTAAGTTCACAACTTTGGGCTAGTTTGTTCAATGATCGATCAGTTAAGTCATCATGAAATAATTTTCAATCATTTGGTTTTTTTACTTAATTACGTTACAGTGAGACTATAATCGATGGACGACCATTAAGTGACACTAAACTGACCCTGAGAGTGTCCACCTAATAACTGGGACTAAATTAGGGGTATAAACTAATGTGAGGAATTATAATCTACAATTGATGATTATGATTAGAAATTAGATTTAGGGAGTTTTCATCAGATATAATGCCAAAACCCTGTTTATCCAAATTGGTGAATGAATTTCGCGCCAAAATCCTTGATTTTTTATCTTATACATCATTGGTTCGTTTTGTAAATTATAGTCTCGCCATTGGGTATATGCATATAATTGATCATTCCATTGAAAACATTTTCGACACTAAAATAACATGAGAATTTCTTTTTTTAAAAATAAAATATGAACAACTGTTATAGGTAGTCATTTAAAAAGGTGATCGTTTTGATATAGTTAATAAGTTTATGTCATAAGTGTTTTGGAATTTTTGTCCAGTAAAAAAAGTACATGACATAACAATGTACGATATTGACTTTAGTTATAGATATAAATATAACCATTGTTAAGTCTTGCTGATTTGGACGCTATATTTATTTCTAAGCTATTCTGATACCCGCACTCTAGAACTATATAGCGACCTGAACACCAGAAAGAAGACGCAAAGTATGAAACACTTTATTCCGGGGTTCGTTTTTGTACAGAAAACATGGGTATTTATAGATGTTAACGTTTGTTAAATCAACATATTTCGGCCAATCCGTTAACGACATTATGCTACTGACCAATAGTGGCAAGCCACGTTGAAATTCTAGAATGCTCCATCATGCTCCTATTGGCTAGGACTCTTCGGCTCCCTTTGGGCCTCTGGAGGCTCCGTTGAAGTTCTCCGAAAGCCGACTCAACAACCATTTTGATTATTACTAAACAAATTGAATCGACTGAAGATGTTCCTTCATGTTGGCTCAATACCAATGTATATTTTTAGTTTAAGGCTGTAGAGATTGTTGAATTATGTTATAACAATGAACCAATCAATGTTAGAACATCAATAAACATGGAAGTACTGGATTTCTTGAAGTTTGTCACTAACGCCGTTGGGTTAAGTTAGTGACGAAGCCAAAAAAATTCGGATGACATTTTCGTCATCACTAAAAAGGACTATCTGGAAAACATTTACAATCTGATAATATTGACAATTGAGTCAAACAACAAATTACTAATTTTGAATGTATTGATCTATGGAACTGTTACAGGAAAAGTGGAAACTCAAGTATATTGGAAGCAAATCGATAAAAATCAAATTCTCAATTATACTAGCTGTAATGCAATAGGTCACAAAACGAAATGCTTACAAGTTTTATTCAAGAGTGTGAGAACACACTACAGAACACCTGCAGTGCGTAAAGATGAAAAATATATGATGAATTTCTTTCGAAAGAATGAACTTCCATGTAGCCTTATCAAAAAATGTCAACATAAACCATTAAGAGAAACGAAATTAAGTACGAGAACAAACATAAAAGACTCATCAAAAATTGCAACGAGATTATTGAAGCCGTTTGGTATAAGTGTAGCACACAAACTGGCAAAATCACTCTGATAAATCCTATGCAAACCTGTAGTGTCTACTACTATGTCAAGCACACAGAGATTATTATACCTTCTGAACAGACCGATCTTCACATTATTTGCAAGCTACATTTTGACCTTGTCGCTTATTTGATTATTAACTCAGATCTTATGTATGCTAAGTACTCACCCCTTTCATCATGTGTCTGTAACGTATTTTTGTTTGATTATAAATAAGTAAGTAGGAAAACACTATGTTTGAATGTTATTAAGGATAAAAAATTTCATACTAGTAGAATATAAACTAGAAAAAGCTCACGATAATTTAGAATATTTTCTAAGGTTCTTATAATTAAACAGTTACTGATTTTTCACCTGAGCGGTCTCTAGTTGCATTAAGTTTTACTGAGTCATAGTCCAAGGTATTTTTAACGCTCAATGTGTGCACCACGATCAATAATTGTGAAGATTAAAAGAAAACTCAAGAAACATAGTCATTTAATGGAATATGAAGCATATAACAAAAGAAGTCGAATAAAGCACTGTTTGGACTGCATCATGTCAAATTACAGAGAAGTCGAATAATATCAGTTTATGATGGGCCTTTTAGGTGCCAGTTGGTTAATTGTTGGATAAACGATCGTCAAATGCAGCTTGAATTAGGTAAGCTCCATCGGGCATGTGGGAAACTCTGAATCGGTCCATAAATCTGTCTGTGGAAGGATTAAATTGGGCCGAACACATACATTTTAGAGGGTTATTTTAGATTATTTTATTTGAAAATCACGGTTTATAAACCCAATATGTCTATGGGCTTTA